ATCAAGGACTCGTTCATGAGCGCCTTCCAATGGGCCACGCGCGAAGGCGCGCTGTGCGGCGAGGTCATGCGCGGTGCGCGCTTCAACATCGCCGACGTCACGCTCCACGCCGACGCCATCCACCACGGCGCCGGCCAGATCATCCCCGCTGCGCGCCGCGTGCTCTACGCCGCGCAGCTCTCCGCTCGCCCGAGGCTCATGGAGCCCATGTACCTCGTCGAGATCCAGACCGAGGACTCGGCCATGGGCAGCGTCTACAGCGTGCTCTCCATGCGCCGCGGCCACGTCTTCTCCTCCGAGCAGCGCGAGGGCACGCCCATCTACACCCTCAAGGCCTATCTGCCCGTCATGGAGTCCTTCGGCTTCACCTCGGCCCTGCGCGAGGCCACCGGAGGCAACGCGTTCCCCCAGTGCGTGTTCGACCACTGGCAGGCCATGAGCGGCGATCCGCTCGACCCCTACAGCACGGTCGGTAAGGCCGTGCTCGGCGTGCGCAAGCGCAAGGGTCTCAAGGCCGAGCTCCCCACCGCCGCGTCCTTCATGGACAAGCTCTAAGGCGGCTCTCTCTTCTCTCTTTCTCTCTTTCTCTCTTCTCTCTTTCTCTCTTTCTCTCTATCTTTCTTTCCTTCTCTTTCTCTCTCTTCTCAATCTCTAGCTCTCTCGATCGCGGCTGAGGAGACGGGGGAGGTCTGCAGACTTCTGCGGTCCTCTCCTGGCCCACCCTCCTCGAGCTGAGCACGCCATACGCGCGAATGGCGCGAAGTTGGACGGCGGGGAAGTGATTCAGCTTCCTCGCCTCCACTCTCTGCTCTCCATTCGCGCGCGTGGCGTGTGCTGTACTACCACAAAACGGAAGGCCACAACGCCGCTGCTCGCCTGACAGAGGAACGCGAAAGTGCTTCGCAAGTGCTCTGTTGGGAGGGCAGCGGGTCTTCCAAATACATTCAACCTTTTTTTGAAACTCACCACTGCACACAGTCACACCTTTTGCACTTTGATGGCGACCATCAGCGGCCCTCGCGCCGTCCTGCGCCACCTGCGCTGAAGCGTCAAAGAGGTAATCGTCATCACCAGAGGGCCTTTATAGGTTGAAAAGTAAGAGAAAGAGAAAGAGAGTCCGATACAGTCAGCGGGCGTGTGCTCAGGGGTCGATTTCACTGCCGATGAGCGAGTAGAAGTAGTTCAGGGATTGAACTCTCCCCTATTCAGATTCTTAACCTTTTCGAAGAGGCGCTTGATGTTCGGGGTGCTGACGACCGAAGCCATGATCTGCTTGACGACGGCCTCCGACAGGACGCCCTCCTCGTTGTCGTTCATCTGCTGGCGCACCTTGAACAGGGCCACGCTGTAGAGGACGCCCATCGCCACGGTCAACACTGGCCCCACGCTAGCGCTGATGGCTCCGCCCGCGACGGTGCCAAGCCCGGGGATGAACTTGAGGAGCTCTGGCAGGCCAAGCGCGACGAGGCCGGTCAGCAGCTGCATGCCGGCGTAGCTGACCAGCAGCCCCGGGTAGCGTTCGAGGGGCACTCCGGTGGCCACGCCAAGCGAGACCAGCATGCCCGACTGGATGCCGGCGATGGCGGGAATCTCGACCAAGGGCACAACGACGGCCGCGCCAGTGACACCGGCGCTGATGGCGGCGGAGAGAATGATGCCAGTCAACATGGGAATCTTCCTCTTGAGATCGACCACCTGAGCTGCGACGTGCATGTCGCCCAGATTGGGGTCGATCTTGGTCAGCTCGTCGTAGGTGGCCTGTTCGAGGCCGCGCACCTCGTCGTTGAGCCGCGACCAAGGACCCGAGTGGCCGCACGTGGTGCACCTCCAAATGCGGCTCCTGGCGATGGTGGCGAGCTCGTCGCTTTGGCACCTGGGACAC